AGTGGATGTCATTCATAGACAACATTCGTAGCGAAAAGATTAATGGTAATATTAAATAAAATCAGTAAACTATACTTATGACTGAATTTCGATGGGTTGTGGTATTGTTAAATCGCAAGTAGTATGGTAGAACCTTCGACATTACAAAAAGATATTATTGTAGAATTTAATTAATAATCTTTTAGAAATGAAAAGTCTGTTAAAGCTGGACAGACAAATGTATAAAATAATGGTAGTAGCATACCCCCGGTTTTGAATTATGGTTTCTCATATGTTTCAGATCATATTGTAGATAATCATGTAATTTTTTAAATGTTATCAGTAAAGTAGGAGCGAATTCGGTTGGGATGTGGATTTTTTTCTGGTAATTTCATTATTCAATCCACATTCTTTTAAAAGAGGCAATTGAGTTAAAGGTAAAAAAATGTCAACAACATGTTTTGGGTTTTTAATCGCAATTCCCCATATGTTTTATTACCCAGTACCAGTAAATGCTCGATGTCTTACGATAAGGGAATCGGCAACTTGCCCTCTCTGGGCTCAGCTCTTAGATTCCAGAACGCCGACGCGCCTGAGTGTTTTTGATTGATGAGCGTCGTGAAGTAAACAGAAAACTTCATATTTTCGCGCTGACACGACCCCCAAAAACTCGAAGCTATAAATAATTCAGAGTTAATCTAAAAACACTTAGATTGTTTTCACATATTAATGTACGCAGGCCATCCCATAGAAACCATTTTATATATTGTGCTGTCTATTAGAAGTGATGCGGCTATTTGAGAAACTCGAGATGAATTTATTGCTGTTTGGTACCAATGCACTGTGGAAACTTTAGAAATCTCAAGGAATTGAGATTGTATTTGTTTTTAATAGACACCAAAGATTTATTCAATTTTACAATAATTTCGATTGCCACTTATAATGTTATTAAATCATGGGGAATGCGTTCTCAATGTTCAAAATGCGCGATTTAGTGAATTATTTTTGGCCAGTGCTCGGTGCCATGGCATTTTGCACTGTTGTCCATTTTGATCATGGATTTTTGTCATCTTTCAAGCAGCATCATCATCCCACTTTTATAAATTTTCTGGTTTTTATTAGCGCAAAAACGGAATCAGGTACAATTTGACACCATCATAATCATTGAATTGTTTGCCAATCAAGGAGTTTTGTTATCATCGAAACAAAAAGTAATCAGAAGGTGCAAAGTCAGAACTGTATGGTGTATATGGTAAAAATGTCTACCCAAGTTCCAATAACTTTTGCCGAATAGCCAAAGATATGTGATGCCTATAATAAAATAATTCACTGTTTTGTTTTGATTGCGTTTTTTAATTTTCTTAGTTCATCAAGGTATACATCAGAATTGATCGTTCGGTTGGGTAGTAAGATTAAAAGTCTACAATTGTTTTGTAACCAATTTCAACTGGACGACCAGAGCGTTTTTATCTTTGAGTGAAAAATCATCAGAACGAGCCATTTGTTACTCAGCCGTTTTTTAAGGCTTTGACACCATAAACAGCTCATAATTTTTGTGTGATTTTTTCCCTTTTCGAGTCGAATTCATGCAGAAATTATCATCTCATCATCTAAATTCTCTCGTTTATTATCCGCTATGATCGTAATAGTGAAATATTTGTAATCTTAATACAGTAATCACAATCAGATTGCATCGGGCGATAACGTCGGGTCAATTGATATTTTATCGTGTGTTGGAAACAAGATACTTGCGCGGGGCAAACCTTCCCACAAACGCGCTTTGCTGCTGCGAAGCAATGTCAAACTGTGTAGCTGAAAATAATGGAATCTTTAATAAAAGGTAATATTTATTATTATCAGCATAATGCAACTAACTCATTGTTCGGATAGTTTTGAAATGTGGTGCTGGAGACGAATGGAGAAAATAAAGTGAACAGATAAAATAACAAATGAAGAAGAACTGAGGAAGATGGTTGAAGAAAAAACTTTACTGAGTATGATCTTGAATAGAAAAGGAAACTGGAATGTATCCATTCTGCAAAAAAAATGTCCTCTACATGATCTGGTCAGAGGTAAAATTGAAGGATTTAAGGACCAGGAAGAAGAAGAATGCGTATGATTGATGACCTACGCGAATAGAGAAAATACAGGGAACTAAAAGACGAAACACAGAACCAGAAAGCACGTAAGCAAAAGTTTGGAAAGGAAAACGTTAAATGAATGTAATAGCAATAATAAACAAGGGAGGAAAAAATGAATTATTGATATTGTGGCGCTGGCACACCATGGACCTGCCTTCGGACAAACTACCATTTATTATTATTATATATGCAATTATTGATTATTGCTATAAGGTCGATAGCAATTGGTGTTTATTTATTCAATCAAAAGTATACAAAATTAAGTTTTTAAGTACTTTTATTTTTATTAAATTATTATAGTTTTAAATATTTCTATTCAAGATAAGTTATATTTATATTATACCTTTTTCCAACATCAAAGGGTTGTTTAGTCCCGACAGTTTCGCAAGCGCTCTCTCTATCGATAGGAAGATTCGTATCATAATTGTTATGAGACTTTTGTATTACGCTCACTTTTACAGTCATTGAAATTACTTTCGCAAACGAGGGGTAGGTAATTGAAAAATGATATAAGGCCTGTTGAACTGATAATCTCATCATACAACGAATAGAAAAATACGAACTAGTGAAAGATTTTGTTATTCCCATGAATTGCTGATATTATTCAAACTAATATTGGTAACCAATTTTATGCAACCTACATTTCTATTTTTATCGAATATGCAATTGGCAAATATGTTATATTTTTCTAACTATACATTTTTTCGCATTAGTATAAAATTCTGTTCAATTTTCTTCATTTTTAAGTTATTGTTAGTAAAAATAAGCATTTGCGCCAGACGGTCATTCATAACGTATTGTTTCATATAAGCATACCTACATATGAAACCTTCATATAAGTATACATCATTTTCAGATATTTGATGGGTAGATGTAAATTTATTATCGAGTAATTGCGAAAATGTATTTTGACCTATGGCAAGCCGGAACATAAGATCTAAATCAGGGACAAATTTTCTTTTTAGGATAACCCGGGACACAAGGTGGAAATCCGGGACTATCCGGGTTAAACTGGGACTTAATTATATTAAAGTTTCAAAAGTTTTAAGATTGTGTCAAAACATAATTAAAACAATAAATATGACCTTGGGTTTCAATTAATTTTTTTTTTTTTTTTTTTTAACTCGTTTTATTTAGCAATCAGAAATACATAAAGATTCCTATTCCTAACATTGTCATTTTAGCTCATAGGGTTTCAATTAATGTCTCATATTTCTTTATTCAACGGTAACTTCCAGCAATTGAATTGAAGGTGCAATGCCATACACAAGTCGTGTCTCATTCAAGATGTACTCTGAAAGAGACGCAAACTGCTGTTTTGGGTGATTACTTTGCCCTATAACTTCCTATGGTGCATTTAGCGTTATTAGGAAAGCGTGAGCTTCGGATAGCGCGAGCTTTCGGACAGCATGATGCGTAATTGTTTAAATTCGCGTATGGATATGTTGGTTCCGTGTCAAGTAGTCGGAATCCGCTACCCATTCTCGTGTATGACATGCATTCGGTTCGTTAGGGCAATACGCGCGCACGTATCCCGAGGGACTCGCGGAGAACTATGTGAACAAGTGCAACCGTATTCTCTCACAGAGAACAACGCTTTAATGCGTCAGAATGCGAAATGTTGAATACGACATTTTAGAGATTGCAAGGGACTAACACTTTTTACGACCGTTTTCCCATCTATTGACCGTTATCAACTTATTTAATGGGAAACTATGAGTAGTAACTGCATTTTGGTACTAATTTCCATAATATCACTTCTTGTTTATTAAAATAACGTAAATATGACTTGATATATTATTTACTCAAATGAATCAAAATATAGATAAATAATAATTAAAGACATTATGTTAATAATTATGAATTTATGGAAATTTGTTATACAATAGCATCATAGAAATATAAATTGCTGGGCGTGAATGGCACGTATATAAAGCAACAGATATTCTAGCTTTTTTACTAAATAGAAAAAATCAAAAATAAAATTATATCAAACTACTATAAAAACACAAACAAAACATATGCTCATACTCATACTCAGCCATCGTATCACGCACACATCTTTGCCTGAACGCACACATCTTTGTCTTTACGAATACGGTTAGACAGACGAAAAACAAACAAAACAAAAGTGAAAGAAGACTTGAATCGTTTCAGTGTTCTTTGCTCGAACATTTCTGAATATGTCACCCGTGTCCCTCCACGAAAACAATCAGAAAGTAAACGGAAGTACGACCACCGCCGGTTGCCGGAATAATCCGGAATAAGGGAATTTAAGGCGTGTCGGCAATTGTGTCACAGTTCCCCGTCCAATGCGCACAGTGGAAAGCTCTCGTATCGCCTGTTCATTGGCGTCGGTAGCACCCTTCGCCAACCATCGCGAGCGAGCCCCGCCTCGATTCACTAGGGTTGTTTGAGCTTTTTTCATGCCTCTCGCTTTCGTTCGATGCTACATCCCTCTTACGCATCGACGACCAAACGGGGGATGCCGGAACACCTCAAACCCCGAACTAAATTTGGAAGGGCTGCTTCACTAAGGTTGCGGATACGTTATTGAATTAATTTTATCATTTGATTCCGATTCAAGCAACCATTCGCATCGGACAGCGCGCAACGTGCAGCGATCGGCGTGCTTATGGTGACGGTCAGTCAGTGTAACCCAACAAAGGTTTGCCAAGTGTCATAGTGTTACCGGATGAGACCTACTGGTACCTACGTGGTCGTTAATGATTTCTTAAACGACTTTAATTTGTGCCGATACGAAAATTTTCAGTGAAAATTTTTAATTTAAATTACAGTGCAGTGAATTTGACAATGATAAATGCGTAGTTTACGTGGTGTATTTTCGCTTGAAACAGTAAAGCTTCGTATCCGAAAAGCATGGACTACTCGTACCTGAACCAGGCCGGCTTCGACACGTCAGGATGCCTACAAGGACCCGCGCCAGGTATGGTAGATATGACGAGCCTGGGAGGCATGCCGTGCACGTACGGAGACCTATCGTCGTGCAGTCAAATGTCTCAGGCTGCTTACCGATATACCGCGAGTATGGCGGCGTCCAGGAGCGTCGGCTATGGTTCAGGTACGGCCGGACATCACACCGGCGTCAGTTCCGCCGGTCCCTGCTCCGCAATGAGCGTGCGGCCGCATCCGCAGGACGTACGGGCGGCTATGTTCCCTGCTTCCATGGGACTTCAAAGTAAGGATTTTTTCAAAATTTACTAAATCACTGTCTATTTGCGCAATGTTTAACGACTGAAAATAACTGATAATGGTTCAGTCTGATTTTTGCGCATTTATGTAATATTTTAAGTGTTAATAAAAAGAGTACACATACCATTGTCTTCGTCTTCATTATTTTGGGTTATATTGTTTAGAACATTGTATCTTCGTATCGAAAATAGGCAGCTAAGGCATTAGACCAATATATTCAATCAAAAAAATTTAATTCGAACATTCCAGATATTTTTAAATTTAACGGCAACTTATATGAGTTAAAAGTGATATGTGATTTTTATCTTTCATTCGTTTTTGTTTACAATGAAATTTGTATATCACTGTACATGTATTTGAATTTTTTATATAATTTTACTGGAATCCACACACGATTTATTATTTATTTATATCCTTATATATATTATTATATATATAAGGATCATCAAAGATCTCAGACACTATTTTCTTCTAGACATTAAATATTATTGAAATATATATTTCCGACTTTTTGTCTCAGCTTCTTGTGGGTTGTCGACATATATCATAATCCGCATTTATGGTAGGCACACGCATCATATAACCAAGAAGATATTACATTACCATTAATATCAATTGAATTGCGTTCTTTCTATGACATTTATGAAAGGAAAATAAGCGTTTGTATTGACTAGGAAAATATGGAGTCATATAAGAAATATTAACTCGGGATCGGCGTTTTGGCTTCTTTTCTCTATATTTACCCCATTAATATAAAATACTATATTTATATTGAATTGAACTGTTATAGTTGTCTGATTAGACAAAAATAATTATAAAACATACTTGCTTATTAGAATGATCAATAACTATGTTGAAAATATATACACATATATACACGATTTTGTTCATAGATTACGTTTTTCATATTTTGTTGTTTCAAATTTTTTCTATAGAAATTTTGGACATCCTATTATTTTCCTTCTTGAAAAATTATTTATAATATATAACACAGATACATACTTTCACAACATTGATTTCAAAAAATAAAGCTTTTCTATCTCAAATATAACTTATTTGTGAAAAACTATGCCTTGGAAATGTTTCACATATTTTTGCATAAATTTCTAAATAAAGTTAACTTTAAAACATTCTTTTTTCATGCATATTTTCAAAAACAATAAGTTAAAAAAATAATATTTTATATTTGAAACATAATTTTACAAATACTACAGGAAAAAATCTTGATAATTTAATATGATAAATAAGCAATAATAAATAAGCACTAATATCTAATTAGAGCTTTCTTTGTGTTAAACTTTCAATTAAATATTTTTTACACTTTGCTAATTTACGTTTGTTTATTCAACATAATCTAAAAATTTTACTTATTGACATATGTTTATGTGTATATCTTTATGCATGTGCATATATGCGGGTTTTTATATATTTTTTCAGTGAATATATATGTATATATTTATGTATATATATATATATATATATATATATATATATATATATATAACGGTGTCCAAAACACTATTACATAATATCAACAAAAAAGTTGAAACTAGATAACAAACGTCAAACGTCGAGAGCTTTTAATATTTCAATTCGCGACATTTGGATGCAATGTAAAGTGCATTTATTTTTTTTTTCGTTGAATATTTTCACAGCGGTCTGGAAAACATAGACGATATTGAATAAATTATTATTAGTAACAAGTTTCATTTTTATTAATTAAAAATAGTTGTTTAATAGAAAATATTAATTAATTATACTTGTGTCATGTAGTTAACACCTTTTTTAAATCGATTTTAAAATTTGATATATTTAAGAATTTTAAAATATAGGTGCTAATACGATATACTGAACTATTTATATTATTTATATATATATATATATATATATTATATATATGTGTGTGTATTATGATTTAATTTTTCTGAACTAAGAGTCCTCGTTTTTTTAAAAAAATATTTATTTCATTTTTCATTTATAAATCTTATCTAAACATCCTTTGTTGATGACGTAAAATATAAAATCGAAACGTTTTGTATATTAAGGATTATTATTTGACTTATTATTTAATGTATCGCTTCAGAAGATATTAATTTAATTAAATGCATTTTTTAAGAATTGTTTTTGGTTATACTTATATGGTACTTTGTTTGAAATGACTAATTGTTAGACAATATTTCAAAGCACAGTTTCTTATTGCCGCTGAATTCTAAATAATTCTAAAAATATATAAAAATTTTCAGATAAATAAGATCATTTCTTTACAATGTTAGCTATCCAGAAAAACTTAAACATATGTTTTACAAAATTACAAAATCAACCTAATCAAATTGTTTACAAAATAACAAAATTACGAAATTTTATTAAATATTTTTTTTATGACTTGTTGTTAGCTTACGCTTGTAAATATTCGAAGAAATGGAAGATAACAGTAATAGATTTTTACTAAAGCTGAATGAATTTTGAAAAATATTTTTCGTATGATTATTTTCATCAAAATAATCAAAAATGTGGAACAGCTTATGACGATTAAATTGATTGCTGCGTTTTTATTATTGCTATGCGACCTCTAGAAATATTCGTTTTATGAAAATATATAGTGAAAATTGTAGAATCACTTTTTATTATTCGTATTAGTTGTTTTTATTAAGTACTAATTCAAATTGAAATATTTAGTTTTATTCTCAGACAGAATTTTATTTTATGAAATTAATTTTTTTATAAATTTCTATCATTATTGTTTTTTTTATTTATATGTATACATTATTTTCATATCTCAGACAGATAGAAGTGCCCGGTATGAGAGATTATGAAAACAGTTTTCATATATACATATTCTATATATACATTTCATTAATATAATATCTATTATAATTAAAATATCTCCATCTTTATATAACTCTTCAGTCTTTTTTGTCTTCAATTTCCTTAATTAATTAATTTATAATTTAATTTAATTTAAGGTTAATTATTTCAAGTTAATCGCTTTCTAGAACGATTGAAATAATCGCCAAATTCTTGTCCATTTTTTTGAAGGTATGCCAAAATGTTCAGAAACCTCTGAAACGTAAAGATATATAAAAATTTTTGTTTTCGATTTTTTTTGCGATTATTATAACTAATCCTACGGGAAACTAATTAACGGAATCACTTACCACTTTATATTACTCCTTTCCGTTGTGTTTGATAAATCTATACTAAATTCAGTTAGAATATATAGTTTTATCGTTAGACAGAGTTTAACTTTATGGTTAGCATAAAGATAATTTGAACTAATTTCAATGATTTCGGATGGATTATTTCAATTTCTAGAACGATTAAATTAATCGCAGCATTCTGCGCATCGTCCGCCAGATCCTTTGAAATCGCACAATCGTGCATTATTACCCATAGTGTCGGTTTGAATAGGTTTAGTAGGTGTTTAAGTTGCGGCACTGAACCTGTTGCATAAATCATCAAATGAGGTGAATATTAAACTTGATAACAGCCATATCATAGATCTATGATTTCATCAAACCGCCGTGAAATTTATATGAAATAGTAAAATACAGTTTCAGTTTCACTCATTCATCGAAAGATGCACGACAAATTTTATTGATAATCAGAAATATGATTTCTTTATACCGCAGTGTAATTAGAAATGAAATCATAAAATATCGTTTTACTTAGTCATCTAAAACTGCACGACAAATTATATTGATAACGTTTGTAAGTTCAATTTGTAAGTTTTTTTTCACCATTTTTTGTGCTAGGAGAGTTAGTAGATTTTTAATTCGAAAAAAACAAGCAAACATTTTGAGATATTTATTTCGAAGATATTTTTTTTTGTTTAAATACAATATCTTCATGAGTATGTTGAATCCGTTTTAGTATTATTTTTTGTTTATCTTAAGTAATTGAAATAAATGTTTCTTGTTTTTAGCTCATCAAATACTTAAATATCTCGTAATTTTAAAATAAAAGGTAGTAATTTTAAAATATATGTAGTGAACTTAAAATAATATAAATACCTATACATATACATATATGGGGTAGACCGGGGCTTAAAGGTCTCCGGGTAGAAAAATCCATCACCATTATCTCAAATATAAGTAGAGTATAAAATATTTTAACCATAAACGACTATGTATCGATATTCAAAACTAAAATTCTTTTCTCTTAATAGGTTTTTTGGTTTTGAGCTCTTTAACTTATTGTTGGTGTATTAAATATTTGAATATAATTTTGAAGTATACGTTATTTAATTTTTTTTGTAAAATGTATTGTTATTTTTAACTTAGATTTAACATTTTTTTCATATAACCTCTATAAAAGCTTACATGTGGGTGAGGTGAAAAAGAAACACCTAAACCTTCACACTGGCAAAGATAAAAACAGTAAGAAAATAGAAAATAATGAAGTATATTAAGCTAAAAAAGCTATTTTGCGAGAGATAAATTAAATTAATAATTATTCCAACTCTGTTGATAAATATTTCTCACGAAATACCAGATCAAGGTTATATACGGTGTAATCTTTATGAAACGTGCTCATGAAATATTTATATCGCATTGGTTGAATAATTTAGCTCATTTCAATCCTTTTATAATAATTTTTTGGATTTGAGCTTTTTGCCCCCTGGCTGTCCCATTTTATCTAGCCTATTGGGTAAAAAGTGACAGGTAACAAATTTTTAGGAAATATCCAAAAAACATTATTAGGAATTAATTGGGAATTTAACTGAATATATTTCTATAGTTGTTTGTTTGTTACGTGTATTTGTTGTGATGTAGTTCATTTGATTTGGTATAATTACTGACAGTAAAATTGGATCTTTGTACCCCGCCCTACCCTAAATTTGTATATAATCTTCAAAATATGAAAACATTAATATATTTAATCTAATTGCTATTAATGTAATTTCTTGATAAATATACTCTAAATCTGTATTTAATGAAATATTAAGATTTGTTTTGATAGAGATGCAAAGACTAATTCCAAATATTATTTAAAATGTCCAATCTTCTGAAAATGTCTCAATTTTAGAAATTAAAAGTACTGACTCAATCTATGGTTCTGAAAGTTATAGTAAACAATTTACTACTATATCTGATATTTCTCAAAGTACATAAACACGTTTTTCCTCTGTCATATGCTTAATACGACGTTCAACTTAATTCCCATACGGCAATGAAGCAGAATGTATGTTATTGTCCACGGGCGAAGTGACGATGTTCGTATTAAGCTACTAAGAACGTACGTGTGAAATTTTAAAACTGATAACCTAGATAAATGATCATCTAGACGCGACGTCTTGTTCTTGATATTATCTTGTCACCATCGGGTAGTCGGGGGGCCGTGTAGTAGGATCTTGAAGTGAGTGGGTGGGACGACAGGGATGCTCCACCGTCGTCGTTCCTCTGGCTCTTTTTTGAGGGTGGACGCCGGTCGGATCGATAGGCGTCGTACTGTGTATGTTCTACGCTCCACGACAATTCTCTCTTTCCTTCGGCTGAGATCTCGTGAGATGCGCGAGAAGATGTACAGCGACGACGCACAAAAATGAGAATCGGCCAAGTGTAACGGTCGTCGCTTTATCTTTATCTTTATCTTTATTACGATGTCATGAATCCAATTATCATATTATTTCCATACCGTATGCGGAATCAACATGAAACTGTGTTATTATCGCCGTCAAAACAGACAGTTACGCTTTAAGATTATGGGATGTCTTGAACGCGTATTATCGGAATATTATTTCTATGAAAATAGATGAGGCGATGGCATATGCGGCGTCGTCGGCATTTGCATAATGTCTTATTCAATTGTGCAGTAAATGGGACTGTGATAAACGTTCAAGTATGATACACATATTTTGTATCTAGATATTATGGATTAAGTTGGTAGACAAGATTCCGAAAAAAAGATTTATTATAATACAATACGATCAGTTAGAATGACTACTATTAAGTAATAATAATTTTATATTTTTGACGTCAGTGCAATTACTTTTTTCTTCATTATTACATTATCTAAATTTGTGTAATATGTCAGAATATAATTATTGTCTCTCATGTAAATTTCATGTAGATATATATTTTAATAAGTTGTGTTGATTCGGGTAGTAACACCAATTAAAAAAAAACTAACGAACAAAACAAGTTATTAACACTTAAATACTCTACACTATTGCAGAATTGCAAATCTAGACTATAAATAATTAGGACATTTAAGTTAAAACTACATTTATGTACAGAGTTATAGAAGACTAGGAACTTAAAGTTTTTAGACCTAAAAGTCTTTTTTCCTCAAAAAATGATTTTATAAAAATATTTTTTATTTATTATATTCTAGGTGATATGGAATGTTTCTTTTTTCATAAAACAATTAATAACAATCAAAATTTTTGTCATATGTACTTTCTATTTAATTATTTGTAAATTAAAATAATTTATCTTACGCGGTCTGCTTAATGTAGGGCGCTGACTCAATGCAATAATGGAAACTTGTTCGAATAAACATACTTTATTTTTTTGCCTTTGGACCCTATCTCAAAATCAGTATATTTAGCTAATATAATGGCTGCCACTATCGTACTCTGGCACAATCGTACCCAGTCTCCCCTATATATGTTTGTATGTGTAACTTTTTTTAACGTAAAATTGAATCGAGTGAACTAAACTAAATAATTGTATTTATTATTACTACTGTGAACAAGGTGTCGAAATGATACAAAATGTATCATAAAATGATACGAAATGTATTTTGGTGCCAAGGAAATGTTTTTGATATTTTAGAATTTTTTGAGATGTATGGATTGTTTTTTGAATATATGTGTATATATGTATGTACATATATATATATATATATATAATATATATATATATATATAATATATATATATATATATATACATAAAATATTATAGATATATCATTTATATTGTTATTCTATATTCCATCATTTTGTTTTTTCAGGTGGTCTTCCATACAAAGTGTATCCTGGGCACGACGGTGGAGCACTGACGGAAAAGCGAAAACAGAGACGCATTCGGACTACGTTTACATCGGCCCAGCTCAAGGAATTAGAACGAGCATTTCAAGAAACGCATTATCCGGACATTTACACGAGAGAAGAGATAGCCATGAAAATAGACTTGACTGAAGCGAGAGTACAGGTAAGTCAATTGTAAGACTCTATTATATTTGTCATCATTTGAAAGCGCTGAGTGGTTCACTTAGAAATTGTATATGCTTTTTTATTTCTGAGTATCATTCGATCCGCCAAGAAAAATTGTTTTTTAAATTAATTTATTATCTTGTTGACACCGCATTTCTCTATACTAAGCAGTGGTAATAGCCGCCGAGATTTCTGTCCGAGGTGTTTATTGTATTATGATCACGTGTCGTTTACTATAGTTAATGGAGTTTGCGTCCGTTTGCTGTTAAACAACTTCCGGCGAGTTCTTTTTCTGCTGTCGATCGGTAATGGCTGATATTCACCCTCCGCCTTCGAGGGCGGCTTTGGAGCCACACCTGCGTCCTGCACATTTCCCTCGCCACTGCCTTCCTCCGCGGCGCGAACAATAAAAATGGCGGCACCCACGTGACGTTGAATTAAATATAAGACGCGATAGAGGGTTGCACGAGCAACCAGATTCCGAGTGAGCGCACTCACGGTTTTAGCGGAGTGCGCCTAGTACCGGAAAATTCGAAGTCGCTCGAGAAATCCGGACAGAAGACCGCACGGCGCACTCTGAATTGCAGCGACAGAAATGTTTCGACTCCTCATATGTTTTTTTTTTTTTTTT